GGAAATCCACTGTGGGGCTCTCTCTGCCACTGTCCCTGAGCCTCCTCCCCTTTCTCCAGACCCTCAGTCAGGTTCCACCCCGACTCCTAGAGCCTCACGCTGCACCAGGGAGCACAGACGGAGGAGGGGTTCACGTGCTGGCCAAGGGATAAGGCAGGCATGCAAGACACAGGAAGAGCAAGCTCAGAACCCGAGAGCCCCTGAGGACACGACAGGAGTCTGGGCCTCAGGAGTGGGGAGAGAGGCCTGGGGCCCCTGGTTCTGGACGGCCCCTGTGCCCGGGACTGAGCTGGCCACTCTGGTCAGGGCATGGGGCTGGAGGGTCAGGGGGAGGCGGGCTCTAGCTTCCTCCCTCCCAGGCCCCTCAGCGTGGCCGTTCAGGGCAGAGCCAGGGGAGGGAAGGGAAGCTGGCCACCCGGGGTGAAGCCTGGATTGTGGGGTGGCATGGTGGGCAGCACCTTTGAGTCCCCTTTGTTCAGAAGGAGGGGTGCTTTGGGGACTTTCTGCAGGGGGCGCTGGCACTGGCCCTGCCCAGGGGCACTGATGGCTCCCGGCTGCGCAGAGCTGCCCCCAGGGCTACAATGGATAAAACAGAATAAAACAGATTCATCCAGGAGCCCGAAGCTGCTCCTGCACCCCTGCCTCCCACCCCACCCTCTGGCATAAGCATTGGTCCCAATGACGGAGACCTCAGAAGTCAGCCCTTGCCAGTTTGAGAGGAACCTTCTAGAAAAGAAGCGTCCCGCAGAAAGGAACCCCCACATTCCTGAGGTCAGCATATTTGCAGCCCCTCCCCGCGCAGCTTCTGCAGGGACAGAGGAGACTAGTGTAGCAGCCAGCTGCTGTGGCCACCCTGGAGAAAACACGCCAGGCCTTCATGGGGTCCCCGGCCTGTCCTGGGCTGTGGCGAAGCCCCTGCAGAGGAACCCGCGTGGAAATCACAACCCCACAGCTTCTTAGGGGAACAAGGCGCCCAGGACAGGCTGGCAGACAGGAGAAGGGGCTCAGGTCTGGGGAGTCAGGAAAGGGGTGGGGACAGGAGCTCCCAGGGGACTCCATTCATTTTAAATCACGCAAGCCCCTCTCACCCGTGGCCTGGCCCCTCCTGGAGCCCAGGATCCAGATCATCTCAGGCTTGCGAGGGGCCTCTAGATCTGGCCACGTGGCCCAGGGGAAACAGGCCTTTCCTAAAGCACCCCTACTCCTGAACAAAGGGGACTCACAGGCACTGCCCTCCATGGCACCCCACAATCCAGGCTTCACCCCGGGCGGCCAGCTTCCCCTTCCCTTCCCTGGCTCTGCCCTGCACGGCCACACTGAAGGGCCTGGGAGGGAGGGAGCCAGAGTCCGCCTTCCCCTGACCCTCCAGCCCCATTGCCCTGACCACAGGGCGGCCAGCTCAGCCCCGGACAGAGGGGCCGTCCAGAACCAGGGGCCCCAGACCTGGCCCCCAAGGGAGGACAGGGGTCAGCAGCCCCAACTGAGCTCTGAGGACCCCCGGGTCAGGCGATCAACCCAGTGAGGACCCCTGCTCCAGGGGAGGGAGGGAGCCAGGTTCCCCCCACAGACCGACTCCCTGCACACGGGGATCTCAGAGCTCCCCAGGGTTGGGCCTCGCAGGAAGGGCTGGTGCAGCGAGAGGCGGGCAAGCTGCTGGCCCTCTCTAGTCTCCTCTCTTCCTCTATGACAGGGCTTCATAAATATTTTCAGGCCCACGGAGAGGGTGGGCCCAAGGGCTGACCCTTCCCTGTCTCCCCTTTGCGACTGGGTTGCTGGAGCCAGAGCCTGCTCGGGGCTTCCATGCCGATGTGTGCAAGGCTCAGGGCAGAGAGACGGTTACCTGGTCCCACCCACCCGTCCCAGTAGGCCAGGAGGGCCTGGGCTTGGTAAGGACCCTCGAGGTGGAAGCAGCTTCCTCCCCAGGCTTCTCCGAGCCCCTTCCTGGACTCCCAGGGCTGTGAGGACCCCAACCCATGGCCCACGCCATCCTGGTCTGGCTGGGGCAGGAGGGCTGGAGATGGGCTCCCAGGCCCCTTGCCCTCCACGGGGCGGAACAGGAAGAGGGTAATTGAATCAGCGCTTCTCGCCCCATCTGGAACATTCCAACATGGAAAACCCACGGAGCAGCTGGGAAGCAATTTAGGGACTTTAATTAAAGGCCGATGACTCTCCCAGGGAGCCTCTCCCCGCACGCAGCCCATAGGTCCCCCCACATCTGCCCTCTGTGTGTTCGGAGGCCCAGCTGGGCACCTGAGCAGCACTGGGTGCTGGCGCTTAGGCGGAGGTCCCGCTCAGGGGGTGCAGAACACGCCAGCCCACCCTCTCCCCTCGCTGCTTCCGGAGTCTGCCCCTCCAGGCCCTGGGTTCAGGCCCCAAAGCCAGCCAAACCGGTGCCCCACCCCTCACAGCTCTGTGTCAGGAAGGGAACGGTGGGGTCATTTGGTGGACTCACAAAAGGAACTCCAAACGGAAGGAGGAACGTAGCAGAGCCTCAGTGAGAGCACAGCTGCCCCCTCAAAGGCTGCCTCCATCTCCGTCAGCACCTTCTGCAGGGAAAGGCATTCCAGACAGAGGGAACAGCACATGCAAATCCTGTGAAGTGGGACAGGCCACGGCAGGTGGAAGAAGCTGGCAGGTGCCAGTGTGGCGGGCGTGCTGGAATGAGGAGCGCATGTAGGACTGAGGGGCAAGCCGTAGAGGGCTGTAACAGCTGTGATCTGGAGTTTGATTTTCATCCTAGAAGCAATAAGGGGTAAAGGTGGGGATCAGAGCATTTTTTTTTTCTTTTTCTCTCTTTTTTTTTTTTTTTTTAGACGGAGTCTCCTCTGTCGCCCAGGCTGGAGTGCAGTGGCCAGATCTCAGCTCACTGCAAGCTCCGCCTCCCGGGTTTACGCCATTCTCCTGCCTCAGCCTCCCAAGTAGCTGAGACTACAGGTGCCCACCACCACGCCCGGCTAGTTTTTTGTAATTTTTAGTAGAGACGGGGTTTCACCATGTTAGCCAGGATGGTCTCGATCTCCTGACCTCGTGATCCGCCCGTCTCGGCCTCCCAAAGTGCTGGGATTACAGGCTTGAGCCACCGCGCCCGGCCCAGAGCATTTTAAAACAATAGGATCTGGTTTATTCTGTGACAGCCCTCAGGCTGCCATCCGGAGAGCTCACAGTGGAACAAAAGAGGTGCTGGGACGATGGTGGGCAGTCCCTGAAATGGCCCAGGCATGAGAAGGGTGTGTCCAGGAAGAAGAAATCCACATGCGCCAGGCTGGGAACTGGGTCACCAGGGGCCAGGAGCTGTCCTGTCTTCCTTCCCACCCCCACACCTGGGGCAGGCAGTCGGCCCAGTCTTCACAGAGGGCACCCATGCAAGGGGTGGGGACAGAGCAGCCCAGCCCAGTGATCCCCTCCGGGCAGGGATCCAAGGTGGTCTGTTCCCTCTTCCCAAGGCTGCTGTCAGTCGGGCAGGCCCTTTCCCCTCCATCCACAGCAGAGCTTTGAGGTAGGACGGAGGCTGTGCCTGTGAGTTGTCCACATCTGGGACCACATCTGCCCGCCATGTTGCCACTGTGGTCGCTGGGAGGGTGCTTGGAGGGGAGCTGGGAACCAGCCTCCAGCCCTGCCTCTGTCCTGGCCTGGGATGGAGGTGCCTGGAGGAAGTGCCTGCCCCTCAGGGCAGCTGCAGAGTGGAGTGTCCACTGGGCCCAGAAACTAGCAAGAGGAGGGGTGGGTGTCCAGACGCAGCCCCCTCCTGCAAATCCTTCCTCACTGTCTGCATCCCTGGGCCCCAAGACAGGGAGTGGCTCCAAGTAGCTGAGAGGCAGAAAGGCCATTATCGGGGCCTGTGGGACGCAGCGGGGCTGTGGAAACCGTAGCCAGTCCCCGCGACAGGCCTGGGGCTAAGCCCAGGCAACCCGGAAGTCATCGTCAGGGCAGCTGGTGGGCACCTGGCAGACAGCACGTGGCCAGGAGCAGGTGAGAGTCATTCCTGAGGGAACCCTCCCGCTCCCAGGACACAGGGGTAGACAGAGCACCCCAGCCTGCCTGAGTCTGGCCTCAGTTATGAGCGGGCAGCTAGACTGCAGAGGGCCACTGATTCCAGCCCTGTCCCCAGGGGCGGGCACAGAACAAACACAGTGGAACTGGGGCAGCAGGTGCCTGGGGGAGTGGGTTGGGCCTGAATGGGTGGGGCCTGAGAGTGGGTGGGGCCTCAATGGGCGGGCCTCTGCAGGGAAGGCTAGGAGGCTATTAATCATCGCCCTCTGCACACGCCCAACACTCACTAATCTCACCAACACTCAGGCAATTCCACAAGGCTCCAGAAGGAAGCATCCACCTTCACATCTGGATTCCGGATGAGCAGAAGTGGTGGGTGCAGACCTGACTTTAATCCTGCCCCACCACTCCACAGAGCAGCCTGCGGCCTCAGTTTCCTCATCCTGCACACGAGAACAACCCTGCCCGGCCTCCCAGAGCTGAGAGCCCAAGCACCGCCCCCAGCATCATTAGGGCTAAACTGCATGTCACTGGGCAGGCCCTAAGCCTCTCTGAGCTCACACGCTAGACCTGACCAGGCACACCGCCCACCTCCGAGGGCGTATAAAGAATGAGTTTTGGGCCGGGCGCGGTGGCTCAAGCTTGTAATCCCAGCACTTTGGGAGGCCGAGACGGGCAGATCACGAGGTCAGGAGATCGAGACCATCCTGGCTAACACGGTGAAACCCCGTCTCTACTAAAAAATACAAGAAAACTAGCCGGGCGAGGTGGCGGGCGCCTGTAGTCCCAGCTACTCGGGAGGCTGAGGCAGGAGAATAGCGTGAACCTGGGGGGCGGAGGTTGCAATGAGCAGAGATGGCCCCACTGCACTCCAGCTTGGGTGACAGAGTGAGACTCCGTCTCAAAAAAAAAAAACCGGTGGCATGAGGCACACAGTCAGTGCCCCGTGGAGTTCGCTGGTATGGTTATCACATCCCTGGGGGCAGCGCCTCCACCCTCCAACCTCGAGGTTTTGTGGAAAAATCTGGGTCCGAGCTTTATTTCTTAAATATTCCTCTCTGCCCAGCATGTGCACGCAGTCTGCTCTGGCTGGGTGAGCGGATGTCAATCAAGGTGCTGAGCATCCCCACGGCGCCGCTCAGCCCCAGCCGAAGTCCTGGCCGGTCATCTGGTAGAACTTGCGGTTGAAGGGCCGGTAGAACTCCTGCAGGCGCCGGACCACGGCTGGGGGCACACGCGGGTGTGGCCGACCCTTGGACTTGCCCAGGCAGCGGGGACGGCTGCTGCCCTGGGCCTTCTTGAGGCAGGGGAAGCCCTTGGTGGCATTGAAGTAGAAGTGCTTGTCTGTGACGACCCGTTTCAGGCCCAGGAAGTCCTGCACGCGGCCGACCTCTCCGGCCGGGTCGCTGACCAGACGCTCCCCGCTGACAAACAGGAAGTGGGACAGGGGGAAGTACTGCAGCCAGTGGTCCAGATGCTGAGCGTACATGCCGATGCGGACGGCACTCCAGGCCGTGTCCACAGGGCCCAGGCCGTGGCGGAAGGCCAGGGCGCGGAAGCTGGGCAGGCCCGGGGTCTTGGAGAGCGTCTGGGCATAGTCGGAGATGGCCCGGGTCACGGGGTTCCTCACCACCACAATCAGCTTCATGTCCGGGGACATGGCGTGGATGCGGCGGGGGGCCTCCCGCGTCACGAAGTAGCTGGGGGTCTTCTCCATGGTGATCTGCCCATCCAGGGTTCGGGGCATCAGACTCCTGCAGGATGGGTACAAGGAGAGGGGGTCTGAGCCTACCCAGCTCTCGACCGACCCCCAGGGGCCCGGGACCAAGGCCCCCTTATGCCCGGGAAGCCCGGGCCTCCAAGGCGGGCAAGCCTTCCTCTCTGCTCACGCCCACCCCTCCTAACGTGCGCGGCTGGGCAGCCTGGAACATGGACTGTGAGGGTGCCCAGCCCAGCACCGGCCTGCAGCGGCCTGTTCCGCCGGCCTGCCCCACCTGCTGCCGCACTGAGGATAAGAGGATGATGGTCGCTGGCGGGGAGGCACAACATGCTCCTCACCACCCACATATCTTCCTTGTGCAATCCCTGCCATCCTCGCTTCCAGAGCCTGCTCCCTCCCACCGGACGCACACTCTTCCAGAACTAGGCTGCCCCCAACTCCTTTCTCATCGCAGACCAAGCACCCCGAGGCCCGCCTACCTAGATCACTCGAGGTCACCCTTTCATTCGGTGGTTGACAGCATCCCCTACATCAGCCCTGCACCAATTATTCATAGTGTCCTCAACAAAAAGCAGCCCTCCCTGCTCCCTCCCTCCCCGATATAATTACATCTCGTCCATCTTTCTTTATTTTTTGAAACGGAGTCTTGCTCTGTCGCCCAGGCTGGAGTGTGGTGGCGCGATCTTGGCTCACTGCAACCTCTGCCTCCTGGGTTCAAGCGATCTTCCTGCCTCAGCCCCCAGTGTAGCGCCCGTCACCACACCTGGCTCATGTTTTTGTTGTTTTTTTTTTTTTTT